GAGCTGGAGCAGTGGCGGCTGCACCACGAGAGCGATCGGCACTGGGCGCTGCGGCGCCGCTTCATCCTGCGCCACCTGCCCGGCTACCGCGGCGCCGCCATGGACCGGCTGCTGTCGCTCTCGGTGCTCTGGAGCAACCACGTCTTCATGGGCTGCAGGTGAGCGCGGCCGCGGGGCGCGCGGGGCTCCCTGGGGGCTCCGCCGGGCCCCGCAGGGAGTTGGGGGCGCCCGGGGTCCTCGGGAAGCTCCGAGGGCTCCTCTGGGTGGGTGCTGAGCACCCTGGGCTGACAGCACTGCAGGCCGCGGTGCCACCGGGGCCTCCCTGCGGGTCCGGGTCCGTCCTGCCCGTGGGGAGAGGGCAGGCCGGGCCTGGGAGTCACGGAGAGGAGCTGAAGTCACGGAGAGGAGCGGATCCAGACAGGCCACCTGCGCTGTGGGGAGCCCGTCCGATCCCAGCGCCCTGCTCAGCACTGCACCTCCCTCCGTGGCATCTGCTCCTGTAACACGGCACTTGCAGCCCTTTAAAACTCACTTTTGGAAGGAACCCCCAAACTGGACTGAACCATGAGGAACTCCTCCCTCCCAAGGGCCTTATAGACATCGGAGGACATGCTCAGTTTTTGTTAGTGCTGCTGTCCCGCAGCCTTGCTGGGGAATGGTTTGCATCATTTGTACTAAATGTTACRCTGTTCTCACCAAGCATCAAACTTGGATGTGGGGTTTTTTTGTGTTTCAAATGCTAGAGAGTGGTAGCATGTTAAAATTGAGCGTGTCATTTTAGGGCATAATCTTTATGGCCCTTTAGCTCCTCTTAAATCTGAATTTCTAACATTTTTCACTGGGTATTCTCTGGAGAGAGGCCAGAGCGGCAGCAGACACGGCCTGTGAGGAAGGAGTTTAGTAGTGGGGTTTATTTAGTCTAGAGGTGGCTGCGAGAGGATGTGTGTTCTCATACATGTTAAAGATAGCTGCAAAACAAAGCAAAATGCCAGTTCTCCCCAGCTGCTGAGAGGAGGTTGCAAGAGGTAACAAACCTAAATCACACATGGGACACTTAAGGAAAGCTCCTTCTGCCTCCATGTCCAGTCTCCATCACTGGAGCTTTCAGAAGGCTTCTTTTTTCTCCCCCATTCAACCTTGGCCTTGCAATTACCACGTTTCTTTCATTTCTCCAGGAGTTAAAACTGTTGGGTTATGGCTACTCACACAGTAGGCTGGGCCATCCAGTCGCAGGTAAATCCGTGGAGCTCCTAGCTGGGAACAAGACTGTGCAGGAGATGTTGGGCTGGGGAGCGAGTGCCGGAAGGGTTTGGTCTGGTGAGGTCTAACTGCCTTCCTCGACCTCAATGCAGGTACAACCCACAGGTCATGGAGAAGGTCCTCGAGATGGCCGAAGGCATCGACATCGGGGAGACGCGGACATACGAGCTGGTCCCTGCCAGGAAGCTCAAGAGACACCTCTCTCCATCCGACAGTGAGTAGCTTGGCTGCGTGTCCCCGTTCCCGGGTGCTCTTTGACGGCTGCTCAGGATGTCTGGGAAGTGCCCGTGTGCCACAGGCCTCCTGAGAGCTCCTGCCCAACAGACTGGGGAGAAGTGACCAGCGTTTACTCTGTGGGACTGCAGCTCTTCTCCCTCTCTGCCCTGCTGGGACGTGTTCCTTTTTCATGCAGAGTTTTGTTTTTCTTTGAGAAATTCTCATGTTTAATAGAAACTTCCATGTTGTTGCGTTCCCTAATGAGAGCATTTAGGAACTACATATGTGTCACTCAGCAGGGCTACACTCAGCACAAGAGCTGTCCTGCTGGGGAGAGCTGTTAGGTGCTGCTGCAGGGCAATCATCAAAATAGCAAAACTGAGAAGGAAATGTAACTCTTGCCATAATTCATCAGCTCTGTGATAACTGAAGAATTTAACCCATGCACAGGAGCATTGCCACCTGATTTAAATATCAGTACCTGTTTATGCTGTATTTGAAAGTGCTTTTTTATCTGCAGTGAAGCAGGGTGTGATGACCTTGCTGAGGATGGTGTCCAGACAGGTGTAGTTGCCTGACCTATGTGATAGTTGCGCCTATTGCTGTTGGATTAGGCAGCTCGTTCCAAGGGTGGCCTTTTGCCCCCCATGCATGTCGTGCTTTGCCATGTGGGAGCTAAAGCTTTGACAGTGGTCAGGTAGAAGTCTTGTCTAGCCAGCTCTCTCCCCATACTCGTTACCACTAATTATGGGGAGATTTTTGTGTGGCAGTTTGTACAGATAGACATATCTCTGTAGTGACTTTTACAATGCTCTGTCTGATCAATGGCAAGCATTTGGAGAAAGAAACCTCTGATTTTGTGGGTAAAAAGTGGATTTTTGTGTTTAAAGCCTGCGGGCTCCTCCTGGAGATCCTTTTGAAAGCATCATCTCACTGCCACAGTGTGTGTTGGTAATATTCCCATTTCCCTCCATCTGCAGGTCCAGAGCCAGAGGAGATTCCCGAGCCTCCCAAAAAGATGGTCCCCAGGTTTCGGGTACGCCCGCGCTTCGAGCCCATACACTTCGTAAGCAGCGCTGAGAAGGACGCCAAGAAGGAAGATTCTTACAATCACCAAGTGCAGGAGGTGGCCCAGGAGGCACCTCCGAACAACGTAGCGCACCCGGCTGGGAACTGCACGAACTCTCCCTTGGAGAGCACCCAGGAGGTGGATCCCCAGCTCTCCAGCTCTGCTGGGCTCGGCTTGGCRAGCCACGTAGCAATAACCAACAGGGCTGTGAACAATGTGGACGCTGCGCCCCGTGGTGTGGGACAGGTTTCCGTTTCCCCTTCAACTGTCCAGTCTTCATCAGAGACTTTCCCCCCGTCAGCTCTGGTACTAAAGCAGAGTTTTATTGAGAAACTCTCAGCAGCTGTCTGGAAAAATCTTGCTAACCCCGATGCCAACACCGGRACTGAAAAAATTAACTACACGTATCTGTTGACACGCTCAATTCAGGCATGCAAGACAAATCCTGAATATATTTATACTCCTCTCAAAGAGATAGCCCCTGCTGACCTCCCCAAGAGTAAGAAGCTCTTAACAGATGGCTTTGCCTGTGAAGTGCGATGTCAGAACATCTACCTGGCCACTGGTTACGCTGGCAGCAAGAACGGGTCCAGGGATCGCGCCGCGGAGCAGGCAGTCAGGCTGCTGCAGAAGTCCGTGGAAGTCAGAGTTGTCCAGCGCAAGTTCAGACACGTCTACCACGAGGACCTGGTGGTGTGTCAGGCAGGTGTGAATCGCTTCGACTTCCCTCCTGCCCTCAAACCCCACGATGAGTTTGTAGCTGCCAACAGGGAYTGCGTCCCTGCGCAGGCTGGTACTGACGGTGCGAAAACGTCCGCCAATACCAGCAAACACTGGACTAGTTTTGTCCTCACGGAGAATGCTAGYGACGCAATAGGGATCCTTAACAATTCTGCCTCCTATAACAAAATGTCTGTTGAATATAAATATGACTTAATGCCCAACCGCCTGTGGCGCTGCCGGGTGTATCTGCAGGACCACTGCTTGGCAGAGGGCTTTGGCACCAAGAAGACCAGCAAGCAYGCAGCAGCCGACGAGGCGCTGAAGATCCTGCAGAAGACCCAGTCGAACCTGACAGCCATCAAGGTGACTCAGGTTCAGAAGGTGGGTTGCTCGTCGCGGGGCTCTGGAAGGAAGAAGGACCTGAAGGACCTCGTGGTTTATGAGAACTCCAGTAATCCRGTGTGCACCCTGAACGACACGGCGCAGTTCAACAAGATGACGGTGGAGTACGTCTTCGAGAGGATGACCGGCATGCGGTGGAAGTGCAAGGTGCTGCTTGAAAATGAGTTCATCGCAGAAGCAGTTGGAGTGAAGAAATCTGTGAAGCACGAGGCAGCAGAGGAAGCTGTGAAAATCCTCAAAAAGACTCAGCCAACTGTTGTTAATAACCTGAAGAAAGGCACCGTCGAAGATGTCATCTCCAGAAATGAGATCCGGGGTCGGTCAGCAGAAGAGGCTTTCAAACAGAAGATCAAAGAAGACAACATTGGGAATCAAATTTTAAGAAAGATGGGCTGGACAGGTGGTGGCTTAGGGAAGGACGGCGAAGGGATAAGGGAGCCTATTTCGGTGAAGGAGCAGTTTAAAAGGGAAGGACTTGGGCTTGATGTAGAACGGGTGAACAAAATCGCTAAAAGAGATATCGAGCAGATCATTCGAAACTATGCACGCTCTGAGAGTCACATTGACTTGACTTTCTCTACAGAACTTAACAACGATGAGCGGAAGCAGATACATCAGATTGCCCAAAAATACGGTCTTAAAAGTAARTCTCACGGGCAGGGCCACGATAGATACCTGGTGGTGAGCAGGAAGCGGCGCAAGGAGGATCTGTTAGACCAGCTGAAGCAGGAAGGCCAGGTTGGACATTACGAGCTTATTATGCCGCAAGCAAATTGAGGTTACGGTGTCCAGTTCTGCAGGAGAAAGTGTGGTGAGACCGAACTGCCTAGATCCCTAATTAAAGAAAGAGATGCTGCATTTTCTTGTTGTGGGTTGTATTAACATGAAGGTGTTTTACTTGGCTCATGCAATTTTTAAAATATTACTAGACAATTAGAACCGGCAAAGTTCTGTTCAATATAGTAGCGCAGCCCAAAAAAACAATAGTGCTGTTAYTGTATGTGTCTTTGATATTACTTGTACCTTCACATTTTAATAGTTTTGTAATAGCAAAAACACATGTCCAACCAGAAAGCATTTGACAGCATTTAAAATTATACCCTTTTTGATTGAGAAAGGAAAAAAGAAAAAAAAAGCCTTTTTTTTTTAAAAAAAAAAACAAAAACAAGAAAAAAAGAAAAGGAAATGCAGTGTGGAGGAATAAATCTGTATGTAAAGTGGGTATTGATGACAATAAAAATACAATTTTATTTCTGGAAAAAAAAYRGGATTTGTCACATTTTGTACAAATTTTGTGTGAAACTGTATTTACTCTTGAGAAATCTATAGCAAGCTCTTGTCTCTGCTGCATATGTRTGTAGAGAGAGAGGTCCTTTACGAATTAAACAATAGGTTATTAATAGATTTTTATACCTTAAATCTCCCATACTGAGAATCACTGAATGCCCCTTAATTATCAGTGTGTTGAACTTAGAGAATTCTGGTGGCTCTTTGCCTTGAAGCAGTGCTTGACATGTGCAAATACTGTGGTGAAGTGTGAAAAAAAAAAAAAAATATATATATATATATATATATATATGTATATATATAAAAGGAGGTAAAGGCAGAACCCACACATCAAGGATGCTGTGTAGCCTGTGGGGACTGTTATATAACTTATTTTTTTACTTTGAATATATACGCTCTTTAGTCCTGAGCAAAATGAAATCTCTGGTTAATTATTTCTGTGCTCAGTGACTGTACCTGTGTTTGTGGCTGTCGAGGGAGAGGCACCAGGAAATTCTCAGTTTTCCTGCCGCGTAAGCGGCCTCATCCTGGTGCTGCCCAGGCCCATTCCGTCTCTGCCCGCTGCCGTTCCCGACATTGCGGGAAAGCCGCCTTCCTGCTCCCAGACTGTGAGGGCAGGAGTCGGCCTGGGAGGAGGCAAGGGGAAAACCTGTCCCTAACTTGGACATTAGGGAGTGTCTGCCCTGATGACAGGGCCAACTAATGGTTCTGTAGCACAAAGCCGGCTCATTACGGCAACCTGGGTGAGGTGTTCCTCTGTGTTCCCTTGGCTTGTATCCCAGCTGTTGTTTTGTTCACTTGTTTCCATCTCCTGTCCTGCTTCTTTTTCTATCCTTTGATAACCTTTGCTTTGAAGAGGGTGATTCCCCCTTGCTTGGGAAGCAGACGATCCCRGTGCTGCGCAGCCGCGGGCGGTCTCATCCCATCCATGTGCCAAGGAGGAGGCAGCGCTGGAGGAACCGCAGTTACAGGTAAGGAAGGAGCAACTGCTCCCGTTCTGATTAGATGACTTCAGTGCAGCTTCTGCTGGCTCAAGCCTCTCARACATAATCATGCTGCTTCTGTCTCTGGAGACAAATAATCTGGCAGTGATTCTGGAAGTATTTTCTCAATATCTGTGCACTTTTGCCTCTCTCAGTTTCTGAATTCTGCTCTCAGGGACTGAGCTGTAGCAGATGGCACTGTAGGAGTGCAAGAAGCCTGGTTCTTTTATATCTAGGCAGCTATTCCTGCAGGCGGGAAGCGTGCAGCTTCCCCCCCCCAACTGCTGGGTAGTCAGTAGCTGTTGAGAACTTGCTGCTTCCAGGACAGGTTGGAGCAGCAGGGCCCTGTTGCTGTTCTCCATGGGTGCAGTAGGAGTGAAAACTGCCCCGTTCCCCAGCACGGAGCTGGATACATGTAAAGATTCCTCAGCAGAGGTGGGTGGTTGGCTGCAGTGCCTGCGGCTGGGGCTTGTTTTGTGTCCTGGGGAGCCATTTGGATGGGTATCCATGGCTCTTTGCCAAGCGTGGCCCCTTCTGTCAGCTGTGGCTGGGAGCTGCCAGAGCTGAAGAGGGCATCCTGTGGGATGGAAGCTCAGAGGCAGCGCTGTGTGGCCTGAAAGAAAGGCAGTGGATGAAGATAAAAGAGCAAGATTTTTACATCTTGATGCTGCTCTTATTTTGGGCCTGCTCCTTCTTTTGTTTGTTTGCTTTTCTTTTGGAGAGAGTCTTTTCCGTAGAGATGCTCAGGAATTGCTCTCCTGCCTTACCCAGGCTGCCAGTCCAGCCCTGGGCTGTTCAAGGGTGATGGAAGTAGCTCTCTGACCCACGCCATGAAGTGATTTGGCCTTTAGGAGAGTTAGCAAGTGTAACAGGCAGGACTGCAATGGTAAAACCCTGCACTGACTCTTAAGGCCCCAGGAGGCCCTTGAGCCCTAAGGCCTTTTCAGGGCCTGTCACCAATGTGAGGGAATAGATCTCACCTCAATCTCACCTTAATGGCTGTGATAGCTTCTGGCCTTGTTGTAATCAGTGAGGTGGCACTATTAGCTCCTGCTAAGTGTGCTTTTAAATCCTCTTCTCCCCATCTGTCCCAAGCTTCCTGCAAGCACTTTCCTGGCTCAGAGCAGGATTGTTTTTCCTCTTTCCCTTGAAAAGTTTGTTGATCCTGGTCTTTCCTTCCTTCCTCTCCCCCTGCCACCTTCACATTTTGGGATGGTTTCATTCTATAAACCCAACATGAGAGCTTGCCTCAACCCTGCCCCTCCCTTCTTGGAATGAAACAGTTCAAGGGCCCTTAATGCTAAGAGACCTTTAAGCCATCTCCCCYCAGGCTGAAATAACCACAAGTGTACAGCTCTTGCCTATTTATACAATAAGCATTTAAGGTTACACTTTATTTACAAGTTTTGAAAAATGTACAGTTTCTTACATGGGTTACTTGTGCAAAGTTGTACTTCTTAACTAACGGACCAATGTGCACACAAGACACTGGAACAGTGGACAACACAATTGTAGGTTTCATCCCACGCTGCTGCTCAAGGTACTGTATCCAAATGTACAAACTTAGCCTTACAAAAAAAGTGAGTCTGGACTTACAAATTTCTTTTTTTAGGGTTGAAAAAGTACTTTCATAAAATTGAAGGAAAACTAACTGAAGCATGCAGCAGTAGCTCACAAACCACAGAGTAATCTACAAAGAGCAGGAACTGCAGACACTCAGGTGCCTACCCCATCCTTCAAACTTTCCAAGAAGCAAAGTTGGATCCCAACAAATTTATCTTTTGCAGATAAAGGTAAGGGTAGTGAGGGAGAATGACACTAAAGGAAGTGTTATTCCCCCCTGGCACCACTTTGGGTTTTACTTCTTCCTCAACATGGAAGGTCTTTTACTCAGAGTGCCACAGCTCTGCCTGGTTTTGTCCCATAGTGCCTTGGTGACAGGACTACAGGAGCTGACTGAAGCAGTCTCTATAGGCATGTGCTTCAACACACTATTTAAAATAAAAGGGGGGGGTTATTTCTCACCCTAAACAAAAAAAAAAAGTACCACAGCTGTAATGATTTATGTATACCTATACATAAATCCTGCACATTAAGTGCAGAAGTGACTAGCCTCCCCGGTCTTACTCATCAGTTGAACTGGAATCAGTGTTGGAGTTGATGGATTTTTCACAAGTGAGGAATTGATAAACCAGTACAAATGGGAAACAAGAGGTTGTTTCTTTACTTGCTACTTACAAAGGCAGTGGGGTCTAAACCAATAGTAAGAGGTAAATGACCAGCCTGGACAGATCAGCACTTTAGTAATATCAGTTAAAAAATGTATGTGTATAAACATCCCTTTTGTCAAGCTACACATAAGCATCACTGTGTATAACACAATTACACTTAAAAGCTTAGTGTACACTACAGAAATGCACAATACTGCCCTAAGACTGGAGAGGGACCACAGAAATGAATTCAGCATGAGTAATTCTTTTGCAAGTAACCCAAGTACAGTACATTTGACTTCAAAGTGGGTGCTTTCTGATGTCCAAGGAAAAGAAGCTTCAGCAAGGGAGGGTGGCAACAGCACAACAGCTATTCTGCTTTCAAAGTAAATGCAGTGATGCTAGGAGGAAGAAGATGACTCAGACACTTCGTATATGATTTTCCTCATCACCAGAGTGTTCATTTGCATCATCCTGGGTCAACAGTCACGCCAACTCTGTTCTACTATTGCAGAAACCCGTTTTTCATATTCCCGCTTATTCTCTTGGTATAGTTGAGCTGCCTGGCTGTTCGCTGGACTGTTAGGATTTGGCTCATCCAATAGAGACTGTGCAAAAAGAGAAGAGATTCTTAGGCACGTAGAGTATTTGCAGCATGTATAAATAACATTCTTTAAGGTATCCAGACTAAGACTACACCAGTTCATCTAAAAATGTATGGTAAGCCTTTAAGACTAACAGTGTTTTAACTAATAGCTGAAATTTATTGGAAGCTTTGTCCCTATTTGTCTTAGTCTTAGCAGGCTAGACAACATGTTTTAACTGATAGCCAAGAGCAAGATATGACATTAGATATGAACCTTCAGTGACCACCTACAGGTAGTGAGTCCAGTCAGTCTGCAGCTGCTGGCATTCATAGTGCTGCCAGCTCAACAACTACATTTTGATCTTTGTTATCAAGAGCAAAAACATCATTTTTTGTTTTGTTTGTCAAAACATCCTAATCTAATTCTGCTTTTTCATGCAGAGTTATCTCTTTACCTGTATGGATGTTAAGATGGAGGAGACATCATAAGTAGGACTCCAACGATTCTGAAGAATATCCAGACATATACTACCATCTGCATAGACTAGAAAAGGTTCAAGAAGAATGGCTTAAAACAGAAGTTGCAGAACTGCACGTATTTCTTAGTATTACCTGCTCCTGAAAAGCTGTTTTCTGACAAACACTAGAAAGAGTCAGTGTTTGACAGACTGAAAGCCAACACTGATGGCCTGTCACTGGAGCAGCCCCAGCTACCCTTAAATTCAGCCCTTGTCCGTTCARTGAGGCTTCTGTGACACTGTGACTAGGGATGGGGTGAAACCAGCATGAACAGATGTAAGGCAAAAAACCCTGATGTACCTACAGGAAAACTAACAGAACACTAGTAAAAATCTGTTTACAGAGRAGGCTTCCCCACAGAGCATCTCTAACAAGCAACATCCAGTCAACTTTCTTATGACAGGTCTAGAAAGACCTGCCCTTTCCTCCCCCTACTCAACCTAACCCACAAGTGCTTGCTTGCTACAACTCAGTTTCAGGAATTTCTTCATAAAGCTGCTGTTTGGTGACAAGGAATGCATCTCCAATCTTGAATTACCACAGCAGGTCATGAATGAATTTATCTTATTGTCACCACATGTAGCTAAAAGAACAGTACTGCATCGCAAAGCCTGACAAGCAAAAGTTCTTACAGTCACCTTCCTTTGTCTTTAAA